CGGCACTCCCCACACCAGCACCCCCAGAGGAACCACCCCCAGGGCTACCGGGACGAGCACCCCCAGAGTCAGCGAACGGGTGCTGCGGCGGCGGCGGCGGCGGCGGCGGCGGCAGCGGCGGCAGCGGCAGCGACAACGACGGTTGCAGCGGCGGCAGAGGCGGTGGAGGGGGGGACTGGGGAGGGGACACCAGGGGAGGGGCGACCGGCGAGGACTGAACATGAGGGCCACCAGAGTCAGAAGACTCCTCAACCGGGTCCACCGACGGAAGGGGGGTGACGTGGGACACACCAGAGGGGGCGGGACGGGGAGGAGGAGGAGGAGGGGCAGGGACTACCGGGGAAGGAGTGACCAGGAACAGGGGGGGGTAACCGGGGGACCACGGTGGGGGAAGCGACGGTAGTAGGAGACGGACTCGTCAAAGGTGACGTCACGAGAGTGAAAGAAGCGGTGAGACGGCGGGTGGTAAAAGTGCCAGTCGGACGCGTCAAGGGGAAAACCGAGGAAGACGCAGGGAAGGGTGCGGGCAGTGAGCTTGTCCGTGCCGGAGGCACGGACGTGAGCAAGGCAGCCCCAGACGTGGAACGCAGACGCGTCACCAGGAGACCCAGTCCAAAGACGAGTCGGCGAAACCTGCGGCTGCTGAGGGTGCGGCCACAAGTTAAGCTGGTGAGAAGCGTAGCGCACAGCGAACGGCCACAGAAAATGGGGTGCACCGGCATGGATCATGGAGGTGCGAGCCACCTCCATGACCAAACCGATGCGTCGCTCAGCGACCCCATTCTGCTGTGGGGAGTGCGGTAGGGTGAACGTCTGGGTGATGCCCTCCGCACGACAAAAGCGACCAAGGACACCTGAGGCAAACTCGCCACCACGGTCGGAGTGAAGACGCAAGACAGGGAGACCGCGGTGGACACGCGCAGAGACAAGCCAGGGGATGAGCGCGCCAGGCACGTCGGCCTTGCGCTCCAGGGGAAAGACTGTGGTGTAACGAGTGAAGTCGTCGACAAGCACAAGGAAGTAGCGCTCTCGACGCAGCCCAGGGACGGGGGCGGGGCCCCAGACGTCCAGGTGCAGGGTCTGCAGCGGCGCGGCGGTAGGGGGAAACGAGGAGGAGTGCGGGGCACGGCGAAGCCGACCCTCAACACAAGGCGTGCAAGGTGGGGCTGGGGAGGAGGGAAACGCAGGGAGGGAACGTGGGAGACCAAGGACAAGACCGTGTTGGGACATGTGACGCAGACGCGGGAGCGCAAGGTGACCTAGGCGGTGGTGCCAAAGGAGAGTCGGGTGAGTGAGGGACCGACAGGAGCAGGCAGCAGCAACCTGGGTAGACGCAGCCACCTGAGGAGGCGCCCCAGCCGGGGGGGTCACGGTGTCCAGAGTGAACAGGCCGGACACCGGGTCCCGGGGGAACGTGGACAGGGGGGCACCCGTGGCGGCCTCGGTACAGACAGCATACAGCTCGTGACCAGGGAACGTAGTGGTAACGCTAAGGTCCTGGAGGCAGCCGACACCAACTAGGTTCCTGGAGAACGAGGGGATATGCAGACCTGTGAGAGTGCCCGAAGGAACCGCCGGACAGGGAAGGGTGGTGGAACTGCGGGCGACTACCGGACCGCCGGAGGGGTCAGCAAGAGAGACGGCAGCAGGAACAGGAAGCGGCGTCAGTGTGGTGAAGTCGCGGAAGAAACACCGGGAAGCGCCAGAGTCTAAGGTGAAGGAAAGCGAAGCAGAGGCGTCTGGCAACGGAACGACGGCGGAAGCACCAAGACTACACAAAGCAGGGGATCCTACGCCTGACGCAGCAGGGGAGGCTAAGCTAGGCACACCTACACTAGGCAACAGTGAGTAATAAGCGGGAAGCACACTAGAGTCAGCAGCATACATCACATGCAGAGCAGCAACAATGGCATCCATGTCCATATCAAAGATCTGAATCTTACGACTAAGCAAACTGTGCCAGTCCGGGAGGTCTGGCGACGGGCCGAAGCGCTGACGAAAGAGGTCGTCCAGACGACGAAAACAGCGGGGAGTGGAGTGACCGAGCCTACCGCAAACGAAACCGCGGCGAGGACCGGTCTGGATCTGGTACTGACAACGCCCGCCGCCAGAGCCACCACTCGGCACACCACCACGCGCCCGGCCACCGCCAGCGCCGGGCCACCCGGGCGGGAGGACACTCGTCTGCCGCGTCTGCGACGGCTGCTGCGGCTGCTGCGAAGGCTGCGACTGCGGCGGCTGCTGCGGCTGCTGCAACTGCAGGGGCGGCGGCTCAGCTGGACTGGGCAGGGTCCCCTCGTCCGCTCCAGCACCAGACGACCCGACCCCACCACTACCCCCTCCCGCACCCCCGCCGCCGCCGCCGCCGCGCCCAACCTTGGGGCGGCGGCCCTTCCCCGTACGAAACTGCGCTGCAGCAGCAGTCTCAGCCACTGCGGCAGAGCCGTCGGAGAAGGTACACTGGGCGGGGGCACAACCCTGAAAGATAGGGACCGGCACGACACCGCTCGCCTGGGCGATGGAGCGGTGACGGGTCTCTATCACAGTCAGGGTGTCTACAAAGTCAGTGAGGGTGAGGTCTGCGGGGTGAATGCTAAGGAAGCGGTCGCGGGCGACAGCAAGGCGGTCAGGGAGGCGGGTGGCAAGCAGGTAGAGGGTAGAGGTAATGGGCGGCTGGTGGGCTCTAAGCTGTGCATCAGTGTAGGCTGCGCGCCAGGTCTCATCTATCGAGCGCAGGTGGGCAGCGAGGTCAGAGACAGTGGGGAAAGATGCAAGGTCAGGAAAGAGCATCGGGAGGATCAGGCGACCCACCGAGGCAGCCGGAGGGGTGGAATAGCGCTGGATGACAGCATCTAAGTATGACTGAGCAGTGGTGAGAGACCTAAAGCGAGGGCGCTCGGACGGGGGAAGGGCGTTGCTGATGGCAAGCTGGGCGACAGCATCGCGAGAAAGCCAGACAGAGCGCGCACGGGCAGTGGCAGCAGTGGACTCGCGCTCAGTGGGTGTGGAGTCAGCGGGCAGAATAGCAGGGGGGTCTGGGCAGGGGAGCGTACCGTCAAGGTGTGCGGAGAGCGGTTCACCATCCTGCCGCTGGCCAGTGAGTTGGCGACGGAGGTCGGCAAGCCACGCCTCGAACTCCAGAGGCTGGCCTTCAGCGTCGAAGCGAAGCTCCGCCGCCATCAGGAACAGTGCAGTGCGGTGCAGGGCAGTGCAGCAAGGTGGAGTGCGGTGCCGTGCGGTACAGTGCAATGCAGTGCGGTGCAGTGCGGTGTAGGGTGGTGCGGGGCGGTGCAGTGCGGGGCAGTACGGTGCAGGGCAGTGCAGGGCGGGGGGGGGAAACCGTACCAGCGAGGAGGACCGGGGCCGAGGCAGGGACGAGCGCAGGGGCCGGGCCGGTGCAACGGGGCCGGGCGGGCGCGACGGGGCCGGGCAGGAGCGACGGGGCCGGGCTGGTGCGACGGGGCCGGGCGGGTGCGTCGGGGCCGGGCTGGTGCGACGGTGCCGGGCCGGTGCGACGGGGCCGGGCGAGCAGGACGGTGGCCCAGGAGGGGCGCACCGGGGCTGGGCGGGCGCGACAGGGCCGGACACGTGCGACGGGGCCGGGCGGCTGCGACGGGGCCGGGCAGGGGGCGACGGGGCCGGGCGGGTGCAACGGGGCCGAGCGGGCGTGACGGGGCCGGGCTGGTGCGACGGGGCCGGGCTGATGCGACGGGGCCGGGCTGGGGCGACGGGGCCGGGCGAGCGCGACGGGGCCTGAAGGCGTGACGGGGCCCAGGAGGGGGGGGGGGCTCGACGCGGCCCAGGAGGGGCACGACGGGGGCCCAGGAGGGGCGCTACAGGGGCCCAGGAGGGGCCCGACGGGGCCCAGGAGGGGTGCTACGAAGCCCAGGAGGGGCGCGACGAGGCCCAGGAGGGGCGCTACGGAGCCCAGGAGGGGCGCGACGGGGCCTGGGAGGGGCGCGACGGGTCCCAGGAGGGGCGCTACAGGGCCCAGGGAGGGCGCGACGGGGCCCAGGAGGGGCGCTACGGGGCCCAGGAGGGGCGCGAAGGGGCCTGGGAGGGGCGCGACGGGGCCTGGGAGGGGCGCGACGGGGCCCAGGAGGGGCGCTACAGGGCCCAGGGAGGGCGCGCCGGGGCCCAGGAGGGGCGCTACGGGGCCCAGGAGGGGCGCGACGGGGCCCAGGAGGGGCGCTACGGAGCCGAGGAGGGGCGCGACGGGGCCTGGGAGGGGCGCGACGGGGCCCAGGAGGGGCGCTACAGGGCCCAGGAAGGGCGCGACGGGGCCCAGGAGGGGCGCTACGGGGCCCAGGAGGGGCGCGACGGGGCCCAGGAGGGGCGCTACGGAGCCCAGGAGGGGCGCGACGAGGCCCAGGAGGAGCGCTACAGGGCCTAGGAGGGGCGCGACGGGGCCTGGGAGGGGCGCGACGGGGCCCAGTGAGGGGTGCGACGGGGCCCAGGAGGGGCGCTACAGGGCCCAGGATGGGGCGCGACGGGGCTAGGGGGGTCGCGACGGGGCTAGGGGCTAGAGGGGTGAGCGGAAGCGGTAGGTGGGGGGGGATCCTACCTACGCGTGATACCATATCAGAATTGAGAAGTGAATGATAGATAGAGTGAGAGTACTCACAGATATACCTAAGTGTTGTACTCTCTAAGAGGCGACCCTATACAGTCTATACAAACATGACAAATACACATGTTTGACATGCTGCTGCATCAATCTCCCACCGTTTTCAGAGGCACCAAACTGACCCGATCGGACTGTGCAATCCCTGTAGCAGATTCCTCGTTAGCAGATGCTCAGTGAAGTTATGGCCTCAGAGTGCTTGTTACAACCGAAATTCATTTTGCATTTTACATAAGACATGGGCGTTATATTTTTCCACCCTACTGTTAACACCCATAAGTTTTTTTAATGAAATTTTGACAATACCCTAGGGTGTTATATACGGGGGAATACGGTATAAGTTGACAATATGTGAGAACAAGTGATTGATTATAGCAAAGGGATACAAGCTTTATATAATAATACAAGAGGGTATGAAGAGTCTAACTGTTTGTCCACTTCGAGGGGTGCATTCCCTTTTTACGATTCGATAAGGCGACTCGGGTAACCACCTATACTGTAATATCAGGACGGTTATTTGTTCTCGCTGTCGCGTTAACTCTTGACTCTTGCGATTTTGGCTGTTGTGTTGCATGGTCAACGGTCTGCGACCGTTGCCCTTTCATAACCTCAGTGAGGTGTCGTCAATCTGTGTAAATCAACTGGGGTACTGTAGCAGTGTTGATTCGGTAATCCTCGCTGTTGTAGTCTTCGCGTATTTCGTACACTCACGCGATTCTCCCACGCGAGTTTTCGTACTCACGCGAGGAATGAAAACTCGCCTGTCTGAGGGTCACACGAGCCTGTAGGGCATGTCTGCCAAATTACATATTGCAAAAGGCCCAGGAAGGACCCTGATTGCCGTTTTGCCTGTATGTGACAAAGCAGTGTGCACCAAGTGCATTACACTACCGAGGAAAGACCTGGCCAGCTCGGCAGATGGCTGGAAACGCAATGGCAAACAATGCTGCCTTGCTTGGCAGATGGTTTGGAAGCTGGTTGCAGTTGGCGTGTTGCAGATGCGTTGACTAATCCGGCCCAGGGATACACTGCAAGAACCCGGAAAACGAAAGGCAAACGAAGGCCAACATTGGAGTTTGGAAAAAGAGTTCTACAGTGGGGAGAACAGGAGTGCCGGATCACGCGTTGTGGTGAAATCACAGACGAAACGCAGTCCCCCAAAGAAACACAGCAACACAGACAGCATGATGACAGAAAGAGAGGAATCAAACACAGCAGTGGAAGGGCCACTCACATGCCCCCTGCTGAAGTCACAGACGCGGCCAGCCCTGATGGACTGAGCCGCCTCCCTGAGATACACGTCTCGCACATAGAACTCGGGCACCTGGCACAGCATGGTGGGAGATGTGGCAGGTATGGTGGGAGAAGCGACAACCTGAGTACACGGAACTCTGGTACATGGAACTCTGGCACATGGAACTCTGGCACATGGAACTCTGGCACATGGAACTCTGGCACATGGAACTCTGGCACATGGAACTCAGGCACATGGAACTCTGGCACATGGAACTCTGGCACATGGAACTCTGGCACATGGAACTCTGGCTCATGGAACTCTGGCACATGGAACTCTGGCACATGGAACTCTGGCACATGGAACTCTGGCACATGGAACTCTGGCACATGGAACTCTGGCACATGGAACTCTGGCATGTGGAACTCTGACACATGGAACTCTGGCACATGGAACTCTGGCACGTGGGTGGCACAGGTGCATGATGGCATCCAGCACGCTCTCTCATCTGCCCACTCTCTCATCTGCACGCTCTCTCATCTGCACGCTCTGCTCTGCAAAACCAGTATACCGTAGTCATATTCCCCCACAATCACCTGTGACTCCAGTCAGTCACATCCTCGTTCAGTAGGGTCTGCTGGCACCGCCCTGTGGGGTTCATGATGGCATCTCCTGCACACTCTAGCGTGCAGCACCAGCACCCCATAGTCACATTCCCCTACAACCACCTGCCACTGCAGTCACACTCACCTCCTTTAGCAGCGTCTGCTGGCACCACCCCATGGGGATCATGACGGCATCCTGCAGGTGGTTGAAGTTGGCCTCGCTCGTACCACCTGGTTATGGCCTGTGCCCCTCTCCCCACTGCATCTACCCAGCATGGCTCTCCAGTCACACTCACTTCCTTCAGTCACACTCACCTCCTTCTTGAGCAGGGTCTGCTGGCACCACCCCTCGGGGTTCATGATGGCGTCCTGCAGGTGGTTGAAGTTGGCCACAGTCGTGCGCACGTGCACCCCCCGCACGCGGGAGGGGGACACCGCCTCATGCAGGCCTAGAGCCGAGATCTGCAGGGGAGGAGGGAGGGAAGAGGAGAAAGGGGGCTGATAAGAGCGTCCTGAAGGGCGGTTGAACTGAAGTTGGCCTTGTTGCTTCACACGTGTACCCCCCCCCACTTGAGAGGGTGACACCGCCTTGTGCCGGCCGAGAGCCGAGACCTGCACAGGCCAAGGGGAGAGTTGACACAAAAAGGGCGAGGGAAGGAAGGGCCAAGGGAAGGAATGGTGGGACAATGGGACAATGGTGGTCCATAAGGTCTCAACTCCTGACTCTCAAACTCGCCATCAAGTGCTGCTGGCACGCGTACCATCAAATTCTTCTTCCCATCCCTCCTCACCTTTCTCTCTCCCTCTCCCTCTCTCCTCACCTTTCTCTCTCCCTCTCCCTCTCTTCTCACCTTTCTCTCTCCCTCTCCCTCTCTTCTCACCTTTCTCTCTCCCTCTCCCTCTCTTCTCACCTTTCTCTCTCCCTCTCCTTCTCTTCTCACCTTTCTCTCTCCCTCTCCCTCTCTTCTCACCTTTCTCTCTCCCTCTCCCTCTCTTCTCACCTTTCTCTCTCCCTCTCCCTCTCTTCTCACCTTTCTCTCTCCCTCTCCCTCTCTTCTCACCTTTCTCTCTCCCTCTCCCTCTCTTCTCACCTTTCTCTCTCCCTCTCCCTCTCTTCTCACCTTTCTCTCTCCCTCTCCCTCTCTTCTCACCTTTCTCTCTCCCTCTCCCTCTCTTCTCACCTTTCTCGGGTCCATGATGACTCGTCTGAACCCCGCCTCTCCAACACAAACGTGCGGGTCGGGGTACTTGGCGCGGTCGTGGCACACGGGGTATGGCCAGCGGAACACCATGCGCTCGAGGGAGAACGCCATCCCTTCCGCCACTCGGAACGGCAGCGAGCACAGCCTTGTCGCCCACCACTGGCTCCCCACCGTCACCCACGGCACTGCCCGAACGTACGCCGCAGCCTCGGCAGCCGCGGCCGCCGAGCCTCCCGCCGTGGTTACTGCAGCGGCCGCGGCAGCAGCGGCGGAGTCGAGGTGAGGGTCGGAGGCGAGGGAGTTTTCAGAGGGGGGTGGGGGGAAGGCGAAGGGGTCGAGGAAGGAGGGGATGGAGGCGGGGGGCAGGCCGACGAAGAGGAACTCATTGACTGCCGCTGGGATGACCCAGCGCGCCGTGAAGGCGTGGCGGTGCAGGCAGTCGTGCATCGCTAGCACCTGGTGGTGGCATGGCCGGAAAAGAGGGAGGAGAGAAAAGGACGGGGGAAGGGGGGGAGGAGGGGGGCAAAAGAAGAGGAACGTATGCAGTGCTGCTGGGATGACCCAGCGGGCGGTGAAGGCATGCGTGGCTGGCACCTGGTGGAAAGGGGTGCGAGTAGAGGGTGAGGGGGGGGAGTAGAGGGTGAGGGGGGGGAGTAGAGGGTGAGGGGGGGAGTAGAGGGTGAGGGGGGGGAGTAGAGGGTGAGGGGGGGAGTAGAGGGTGAGGGGGGGAGTAGAGGGTGAGGGGGGGGAGTAGAGGGTGAGGGGGGGAGTAGAGGGTGAGGGGGGGAGTAGAGGGTGAGGGGGGGGAGAGCGGGGGGGAGATGGAGGACAAACTCGTGGTTCGCTGTTAGGAGGTGAAGGTGTGGCAAGAGTGGCAGTGGTGCATGGCTAGCACCTGATGGTGGGGGCCACGGGAGGACAAGGGGAAGGATTGGGGGTGAATGGAGAGGAGGAAAGGGGTTGATACCAAAATGGTTAAGACACAGCAGTCGAGCTCATGCTATTTTCAGTGCACTGCTGTTGAGCCCACTTCAACTGCAAAGCAAATCACTTCAACAGAGTCTCATCTTCCACGAGTGTGCGTCTGGTTCACCTGCCCTTGCTGTGACTCACCTGCCCGTTCCTTTTCAGGTCAAACAGCCTCACTCCTTTTGAGGTCAGCCACCCCCTCACCACCCTGCGCTCCACTCAACATCCTCATGAAACCGCTCTCAACTCCACAGGGTGCCATGCCCAGGCACGTGCCACTGTCGTACAGCGCCATTGTAGACGCCCTCAGCAGGCGGCGGGCGTGTACTCGCCCGCCCGTTTCTCTCAAGGTCAAACTGTCTCACTCCCTTCAGATCCGTCACCCTCACCACGCTCCGCTGCACGTCCTCGTGAGTCCGCTCTTTAAACTCCACAGAGTGCCACGCGCCGCTGTCGTACAGCGCCACCACCGCCGCCCCCAGCAGGCGCTGGTTCTCCACCTGCCCTCGGCTTGACTCACCTGCCCGTTTCTTTCCAGGTCAAACCGCCGCACTCCCTTGAAATCCGTCACCCTGACCACTCTGCGGTCCATGTCCTCGTGAAACCGCTCCCTGAACTCCACAGGGTGCCACGCGCCGCTGTCGTACAGCGCCACCACTGCCGCCCCCAGCAGGCGGTGGTACTCCACTGTCTCGCGCAGCAGGTGCATGGGCACTGAGGCGTTGGGCGCCGAGGGCAGCAGGCAGAGCGCCGAGTGGAAGGGGAAGGCGGAGCCGGGGGAGGTGGTGGGGAAGGAGAGGGGAGATTCCCTGAGGGGGAGGGGGGTGGGGGGTGGGGGGTGGGGGGTGGGGTTTGTTGGGGGGTGGGGTTTGTTGGGGGTTGGGTGGGTAAAATGCGCCAGGAGAACATAAATTTGAGAACAGGGAAGGAGGGAGAGGAAGGCCTGTCTAGCAGGCAGTGGTGTTCTCTCGGTCTGGCGCAGCAGGTGCATGGGCACCGGGGCGTTGGGGGCAGAGGGCAGCAGGCAGAGTGCCGAGCTTAGTTGCTACAAACGCGTTTAGCATTTGAACGCCAGCGTTTGAAATGCTGAACGCTCACCAGCGTGTCTGTGAACGCTAGGTAGACATGATCAAAACGCAATTGCGATTTAAATCGCATCGCATGCAGGTGCGATGTTTAAAAAAGCGATGCGATTTTAAATCGCATCACGTGATTTATTTTTCAAAAAAATAAAAATCGCAAATCGCATTTTACCCGCGATGTATTAAAAAATCGCATGCGATATTTAATTAAATCGCATCGCGTTTTAAAACAGAATTAAAAAAAACCCCCAAAAAACAGAAAAAAAACATGGCTGCGGGGAAATTGACTCACGGGCAGTCGTAAGCTAGAGTGCAAATAACCAGTGTGGTTTCGTAGTGGGTTTCAGAGTGGGTTTCAGTGCAATATCGCGCGCGATGTTTTAAAAATCGCATATCGCATTTAAATCGCGTTTTTTAGCGCGATTAAAATGCGATTTAAATTAAATCGCGCGATATTAATTCATCGCATCGCACGATGATTAAAAAAAAAAAAAAACATCGCCATCGCAAAAACGCGATTAAATGCGATGCGATGCGATTTTTTTTGCCCATGTCTGACGCTAGGCCAGGCAGGGGTAAAATTTTTGCCCGGGCAGGGGTGAAAATTTCCTGTGGGGGAGGGGGGAAACATGGGGGTTCTGCCAGCAAGCAATTTGGCTCCAAATAAGCCGTGGAAATTTTGAAGTATGCATCCTCATATATATGGGACTACCGGCCATCTTCTGCCCACAAAAGCGACACTCATATTTCTGTGTGGCACCGGCCTCCTTGACTAGAACGCGGAAGAAACCTCGTGATTCCTATCCGCCTCGTATACATTAGATGCGGTCGCTGTAGCAGCGTCCTCATTGCTAAGAGGCGTCGACATGGACCCTCGCCCTTAACTGAATGTTATCTCGTGGCTAAGGTATGGCAGCTAAGGTGGAAAAGTGGCTACGGCTATGGCGCGCGGCAGTTAGGGTAAGCAGTTTTGACGGGGGAGGGGATTGCGAACTTGCATGGATCTATGAGATGTGAGCAGGAGGGGTTGGATGTTTTAGTTGACGATGTGTGGAGTGCGGGCGGTTGAGGGGGGGGGGTTGTTGGGAGGTGAATTTTGACACCTTGGTTTGGAGTTGGGACTTGGCGAACGTCGTGCTGAATTCGCCAAGTCTCAATTTCGCGGTAAAAAAAATCGCTTTTTTTTCGGAGGGGCAGCCCGGAAATTTTCCCAGCGAGCGTTTGCGTTTTTGGGTCCGTTAAGCATTGTGTTCGAACGCTAAACGTGTGTCTGCCAGAGCGTTTGTAGCAAGTAAGGCGCGGAGTGGGAGGGGAGAGGAAGGAAGGGGACGACGGTGCTGGGGAAGGTGGAGGGGAAGGAGAGGGCGACTTGCTTTGCTGGGGAGATGGGGTGGGGGGGGCGGAGGGGGAACGCAGGACCAAGAGAGCAGGAAGCCGGGAGGAAATGGACGATAGACGAGGACGTGGTTAGGGCTGACAGCAGCTTATGAAAGACCTGCTAGCAGCCGGCGGCATTCCACCGTCTCTCATTTAAGGTACATGGGCAGAGGTACAGTACAATCGCACATAACTATCATATAATCACATGCACCTGTGGCGCACACGTACCTATAGAGAAAACGCATCTAGAGATTTCCTTACAATCAAACCCACAAAGTCAGTGCCTTCAATGCACACAGCAAGGAAGCCCCCAGTGCTGGGCACATACTCGTTAAAGGCAGCTTCGATATCATCACTCGAGAGGGAAGGGCAAACAGAAAGGAGGATCACACGCACCTGCAAGACAGGAAGCCCCCAGTGATGGGCACATCCTCGCTAAAGGCAACTGGCGTTCAATCACCCACCTGTAGAGCACAAAGTCTGTGCCTTCAATGCGCACTGCGAGGAAGCCTCCAGTGTTGGGCACATCCTCGTTAAAAGCAGCTTCAATAACGGCCTCTGTGTGCTTGGAGGTCTGCTGGCCCAGAGAGTACGAGACATTGGCCGTGCAGTCCAGTGCTGAGAGATTGGGGCCGAACCACCTGAAGAGCAGAAAGGACGGGAAGGGCAAGTGAAGAATGGAAGGAAGCATCCTCGTGATGAGCATCCTTGTGATGAGCATCTTCAATACCCGCCTCTGTGTTCCTGGAGAGCTGCTGACCCTGAGAGTAGACTGCAGTCTCCTAGACCGACTCTAGAGCGGAGAGATTGGGGACGAACCACCTGTGGGGGAAAACACGGAAAGGGTGGGAACATTCTCGTTTTAAGCAGCCTTGATAAGTACTTCTCGGTGTGCCAGGAAGGCTGCTGGCCCAGAAAGCGAGGTGCAGTGCGATCCAGCGAGTACAGGCTGCTGGCAGAACCACCAAACGGGGGGAAGTGGAGGGGGGAACAAAATTGGGAAGGGAGGAGGTGGGCTGTAGAAGCAGAGCCAGGGCGAGGAGCGAGAGGCATTGGCCTTGCAGGCCGGAGCAACGAGTGTCGGAAAATATTGCTGCGAAGAGGTGAGGGCCGATCCACCTACGAGGGGCAGAGGGGAGGGCGTGAATGCGTGAGGGGAGGGCGTGAATGCGTGAGGGGAGGGCGTGAATGCGTGAGGGGAGGGCGTGAGGGCGATTGGAGCCGTCCAGGGGCCTCGCACAACTTCACCCCTCCACTCCTCTTGGTTGGAGGAGTGTGCTTGAGGATTTTTGCCCCTACACTATCACTGTGGCACTGCACCACTAGCGCTGCACCACTAGCGCATGGTCCCAACATGGTCCCAATGTGTGTGCACCATGCAATCTCATCTTCACCTGCACTGCTGCACCATGCACCGTGGAACCACCCCAATGCCCACCAGCTTCCGTGGGTTATCCCGGTGCAGTACCCAGTGTGTGCGTACTCTTGCACGCACCTGCACCGCTCTACAGCTAGTCGCCCAGAAATCATGGCCCCTGGAACCACCCCAACGCCCAGCACCAGCTGGTGCGTGTCCGCGTGCATGCCAGCACCAGCACGCCAGCAACTGCCCTCACCCGCAACTGCCCTCACCCGCACCTGCCCTCACCCGCACCTGCCCTCACCCGATCCTGCCCTCACCCGCACCTGCCCTCACCCGCACCTGCCCTCATCCGCACCTGCCCTCACCCGCACCTGCCCTCACCCGCACCTGCCCTCACCCGCACCTGCCCTCACCCGCACCTGCCCTCGCCCGCACCTGCCCTCACCCGCACCTGCCCTCACCTGCACCTGCCCTCACCCGCACCTGCCCTCACCCGCACCTGCCCTCACCCGCACCTGCCCTCACCCGCACCTGCCCTCACCCGCACTGCTCTACTGCCATCCGCCCCTTCATTGGTCGTGGAATCACCCCAATGCCCACCAGCTTGCGGGCGCCCACACGGTAGCCACTGGGGTATGGGGGGGGACGGGACACAGGCATGGGGTATGGGGGTGCGTGGGCCACAGAAGAGGGTGGGGCATGGGAGAGGGTGAGTGGGCGGTTAGGATTCTTCTCAAAAGAGCTCAAGCAGCGTACAAAGGTTGCGTAGTGAGTGTGGTCACAGGAAGTGCGAGCATGGATGGGTGGTCTCAAGTGGGAGCATGGATGGGTGGTCTCAAGTGCGCCTGACTGACAAGTGCTGGGTGGGTGCCTTTCTGATTCACCTGAACCTCGTGAACACTGAGTTGCCTGCAAGCACTCGCTGCCGCCACTCCGATGCGTCTGGGGGGAGAGAGGGGCGGAAGGGAGGATGGGACGGGTGGCAGGGACAGGCGGAAGGGAGGATGGGGGGGGAGGATGGGAGGGCAGGGAGGGAGAGGAGGATGAGCGTTACATTAGGGTTGAGCATAGGCCCACCCCGCCGGATTCTGTTCAGCCCGACTTTGGTTCGGGCAGGCCAAGCCGGGCCAAGGTCGGGCCGACTTCGGGAACTTCCCAGCCTGTGCCCGGTTTTAAGGGTCGGGCCAGCTTTGGCCCGGGGGCGGACCAGGCCAGCCTGGCCTGTCCGGGCCTTTTTCTCATGCGTAGGTGAGGATGTGGGAGTGTGCGGTGGCATGGAGCTGCACTGGCAACGCAGTGAGCAGCAGGGGGGCGCAGAGCAGCACTCATTTAGAATCGGCGGCCTATTGCGAGTCAGTAACACGGAAAGCAGTCACTGGCATACAGCCCCTTCTGGGATGCTGCTCTGAGAGGGCATAGGCTCACTCCACTCCTCCTCACTCTCCACTGCACATCACCCAGTGTCCCTTATGGACACTAGGTGTCCCTTATGAATCACAGCACAGCAAAGTCCACTCACTGGCATACGGCCCTTGGGGAATGTACCCCTGCGCGGGCATGGGCTCCCGCCACTCCTCCGCGCTCTCCGCATCATCCAGAATCGCCTTCCCCACACTCGCCTTCCCCGCACCCCCGCCGCCACTCCTCACCCCCATCCTTATCCCCTGCCCCTGCTGCCCCTGCCCCTGCCCCCATCCCCCTCGCCCCCCCCCCCACCCGCTGCTCCTCCCCTCCTCTCCAACCCTCGTTGCAACCCCATCCCCGTCCAAACCCACCACTGCTCCCCCTTCCCGTCCCCTTCCATCTCCCTCTCCCCCTCCCCCACCCCTTCCTCCACCCTCCTCCTCCTCATCCTCCTCGTCGTCCAGGCTCAGCAGCTCCTCGATGCCCATGCTCTTCAACCGCAGCCCCGTGCGGGCACTCAGCCGCTGCTGCTCGCGCTGCTCCTCCGCCTGCTCCATGGGGATGCGCTTCCTCCTGCCCTGCCCACCTGCCAGCCCCGCCCCTCCTCCCGCCCCTCCTCCTCCTCTTCCTCCTCCTCCTGCCTCCCCTGCTCCTTCTCCCCCCTGAGTTCCCCTCGCACTGTCTTCCTCTCCCAGCCTCCTCTTGCTCTCTCCCTCCCCTCCACTTCCTCCTCCGACCAATCCTCTTCCTCCTCCCTCCCTTCCTCTTCCTCCCCCCTTCTCCCTCGACGCTATGCCACCTGCCCTTCCATCCTCCCTTCCGCTCTTACCCTGCTGCCCCCTCTCCCCCCCAGCCCCCTCATGCCCTGTGCGCCCGGGCCCCTTGTGTCCATGCCCACTCTTCTCCTCCTCCTCCTCCCCTCCTTCCTCCTCTTCCTCCACTCCTTCCTCCTCACCCTCCCCCCCCTCCTCCCCCCCTCCCCCTCCTCCTCCTCCTCCTCATCCTCCCCCCTCTCTTTACTCACAGCCATCCTCGCCTCAGCCATTGCCCTCTCCTCCTCACTCATTTCCCCCTCCCCATTCCCCTTACCGCCTGCCACCCCCCCGCCCCCCCTTCCCCTCCCCCGCTTTGTGCTTCTTCCGCCTCCTCTTGTGCCTCAGCGGCTCGTCCCTGCTGTCGCTCGCCTTCACCCCGCTGTCCTCGCTGCCCCGCCCCGCCTCCTCCTCGCGCCGCGCCTTCAGCATCGACACCAGCTGCGCCCTCTCGCTGTCCATCTCCTCTGGCTTCGCCCACTCTATCGGCACCACCCTCCCTCCTCCCGCTGCTGTTCCTCCTCCTGCTGCTCCGCCTTCTCCTTCCTCCCCTCCCTTTGATGCTCCATTCTCCTCTCCGTCCCCTGCCCCTGCTCCCTCTCCTTCCCCCGCCGCCCGTTGCTCGCCCCCATCCTCGCCATCCGCCCCACCTTCCCCCCTCCCCCTGTCTCCCACCCCCTCATTATCCTCCCCTCCTCCCACTTGCTCCTGGCCTCCGGACCCATCTCCTGCTTCCCTTCCCCTCTCTCCTTGTCCCCTCTCCTCCCCTTCGCCACCCCTTCTCCCTGCAGCGTCAGTTGCTGCACCAGCAGCAGCAGCAGCAGCAGCAGCAGCAGTGCCAGCTCCAGCACCAGCAGAACCATCACCAGCACCAGCAGAACCATCACCAGCACCAGCAGAACCATCACCACCACCAGCAGAACCATCACCAGCACCAGCAGAACCATCACCAGCACCAGCAGAACCATCACCACCACCAGCAGAACCATCACCAGCACCAGCAGAACCATCACCAGCACCAGCAGAACCATCACCAGCACCAGCAGAACCATCACCAGCACCAGCAGAACCATCACCAGCACCAGCAGAACCATCACCAGCACCAGCAGAACCATCACCAGCACCAGCAGAACCATCACCAGCACCAGCAGAACCATCACCAGCACCAGCAGAACCATCACCAGCACCAGCAGAACCATCACCAGCACCAGCAGAACCATCACCAGCACCATCAGAGCCATCACCAGCACCAGCAGAACCATCACCAGCACCATCAGAGCCATCACCAGCAGCACTGCCGCCACCACCACCGCCACCACCACCAGCAATGCCACCACCAGCAGCAATGCCACCACCAGCAGCACCGCCACCACCAGCAGCAATGCCACCACCAGCAGCACCGCCACCACCAGCAGCACCGCCACCACCAGCAGCACCGCCGCCACCAGCACCATCACCACTACCCTCTCCTCCTTGCGCCCTCCCCCCTAGCCCCCGCCCCTGCCCCCCCCCTCCCCCTCCCCCTCCTCCTGCTTCCGCCCCTACTGCCACAACTCCCATGCCTGTCCCCTCCTGCTGCTGCCGACCTCCCTGCTGCTGCTGCCCTGCCCCCTCTTGTATCCCAGCCCCTCCCCCCAGCTGCTGCTGGTTACCCGCCTCTTCCTTGGGCTTTGCTGCCGCCTCTTGCTGCTTGCCGGCTGCCTGCTGCTCCTTAGCCGCGCGCGCAGCAGCCGCCTGGGCCATCAGCTGCTTCAGTCGCTCGTGCCGCGCTGCCCTGCCGCTCAGCTTGGGGGGGTCAATCACTGACACCACCTGCTGCTGCACCGTTGACTGCTGCTGCGTGCCTGCTCCTGTTCCTCCTCCTACGCCCCCTCCTCGTCCTCCTGCCCCTCCCCCTGCCGCAGCCCCACCGCCAATCACAATGCTCTGGAGCTTCTTGTTCACTTGCATGAGGAGCACGGGCAGCTGCTGCACGGCGTGTGAGCTGTCCCTCACCACCTCGTACGTCTTGGCAGGCAGGGAGAATGTCGCCCCGCGCTCCCCTTCCGTCCCGGTCAGCATCCTCTTCATCTCTCGTAACGACGCCATGTGCTTCTGGGAGTTTTGTAACACCAGGGTTACCACCCCCTGTAGGGATTTCAGTGCCGAGCCCGAACCTGCTGCTTCGGAACCAGCCCCTGCAGGAGGGGGGGGTGCGGAGACCCCGCCAGTAGCAGAGCCTACGAAGGCCGCTGCCTGGAGGGAGGAGAAGCGCTTAGCTAAGCGCGAGAGGATGGTGGTTTGGGTGCTAACGGCGCGGAGCAGCAGGGCGAGCTGGGTGTTGTTGCGCACCTCCGCCAGCACTTGGTGCAGCAGGCGCTCCGTGTTGTGCGCCTGCTGCGCTGACAGCTGGGGCTGGAGCTGAAGGGGGAAGACAACGACAAACAACGGGACAACATGTGTGCACGAGTGCACGGGAGATGGCCAGCGCACTTCAGCCAGCACGTGGTGCAGCAGGCGCTCCGTGTTCTGCGCCTGCTGCGCTGACAGCTGCGGATGGAGCTGGGGAGGAAGACAGAGGAAGAAAGGGGGAGGGAGGTAGAGTAGCATCTGTGTGTCCTCGATCGCTCGCTAGTGGTGCAGCACATCCTCCGTGCTCTGTGCCTGCTGCGCTGACAGCTGTGGGTGGAGCTGAAGGGGGGAGGGGAGGGGAGGGAGGGAGAGAGAAGTGGGGGAGAGGGTGAGAGGGAGAGGGAGTGAGGGAGAGGGTGGAACAGTGAGCGTGTGAGCCACAGGGAGAGGTGCGTGCGTGCTGTCATGCACTTGCTGCGGCAGCCGACTTGTGTGAGGAGAGGGGGGTTAGGGTGTGGGGGAGAGGGAGTGAGGGAGAGAGAAGGACAGGGAGCGTGTGAGCAGCAGGGGGGCCTGTGGCAGTGGCAGCTGTGGCAGCTGTGCCACAGGCCCCTCTGCTGAGGAGACCCAGGGCCAGTGCAGTCCTTTACCCTGAAAGGACATGCGTTGACTCACGTCGAGATCCAACGGCGGCAGCTGCAGCAGCAGCTGCTCGGCTAGGCCCAGCCCCACGGCACAAACAAGGCCGAAACAATCCATGCGAAAACAAGGCACCTGTGGCAACTTCGCACCCAAGCCAAGCCCCAAGCCAAAGTCTTGACTCAGAGGCCCCAGCTGAATAATGAATGGACTCACACAAACCACCGTTGACTCACCTCCAGATCCAGCGAGGGCAGCTGCGGCAGCTGCTCGCCCAGGCCCAGCCCCAAGCCACTGTTGGCTGTGGCGGCCTTGATGTGCGCCACCAGGGCTTTAAGAACTGCCAGGATGCGAATGAGCTGTTGGTGTCGGGGGGGCAACGATGGCATGGAATGGAAGCATAGACGGAGGGGTTAGGGATGGAGTGAAATGAAGGAAGGGATTCAGGAACACGGGGAGAGGGCGGGGTGGAGAGGGCGGGGTTGCAGGAGAGCAAGCTGCGGGGATTGCATTGCCAACACATGAAAGAACGGTGAGGAGGACCCTTCAAACGCCAAAAGCTGAGACTCACGAGTGCCATAGCTTAAAGCCTTGGTTGCATGGACCAAGTGCGAGTCGGCATGAGCACAAGGCCCAGCCCGGAAGAACACACGCTCGGGCCGATCGTCCACGAAATTTGGCTCGTGTTTGGGCGGCCCGGGCCGGCCCGGCCCGCCCCCCGGGCCAAGGTTGGGCCAGCCCCTAAACCCAGGCCCCGGCCAGGCATTTGCCAATGCCGGCCCGACCCCAGCCAGGTCTGGCCCGGCCCAGGTCGGGCCGGAGTCGGGCCACCAAGAAACGGAGCAATGCTCATGACTACGGGCAAATAGTGCAAATAGTGCAAATAGTGCCATTTCTTCGTTCAGGCTGTGAGGTATAAGCTCACCTGAGGGGAGTAGTCCGTTGACTGCCTTGACTTGAGATCCTCCATTGACTCCTGATGGGGGGGGTGGGTTCATGCATGGTGTGGTGAGGGATCGCACGCAAGACAGATGGGGCGCGATGCACGCATGCATGCGCGATGGGGAAATGTGATAAGGACATGAGGCAGCAGTGGCATGTGACTGTGGGGGCATGGGGCAGCAGTGGCACGTGAGTTGCCCCACACACACACCTGCAGCGATGTGAGGATGAGCAGCTGCTTCCTGGGGACAGCCGCCCCACTCTCATGCCTAGAGTGCTGGCAGCGGCAACAGTATCTGAGGTCCACCCAACCCCCCCTTCCCCCCCTTCACATGCGCACACACCTGCAGGGACTTGAGGATGAGCAGCTGCTTCCTGGAAACCGCTGCCGCCTCCCTTATGCCGACAGCGCTCACAGTGCCGGCCGCTGCGCCCTCTGCTCCTCCCTGCTGCTGCCATCACATGCCATCACATGCCATCACATCCCATCACATGCCAACACATGCCATCACATGCCATCACATGCCAACACATGTCATCACATGCCGTCACATGCCATCACATGTCAACACATGTCATCACATACCATCACATGCCATCACATGTCAACACATGCCATCACATGTCATCACATGCCATCACATGCCAACACAAACCAACACACGCCATCACATGCCATCACATGCCAACACATGCCACCACATGCCAACACATGCCATCACATGCCAACACATGCCATCACATGCCATCACATGCCATCACATGCCATCAACATCACATGCCACCACATGTCGTCACCATCACATGCCATCCCGTCCCATTCCATCCAATCCCATGCTATCATCCCATGCCATGCTATCCCATCCCATCCCATCCCATCCCATAACAATCCCATGCCATCCCATGCCATCCCATGCCATGCCATGGCAGGCCGATCGGAGTAAAAAAGCACATGGTGTGGGGGATGTGAAGGAGGGTGCTAGAATCGCGGTGGGTGGGGCATCTGAAATTGAAGTCTAGGGTGGCGTTTGCCAGGTGTGCTTTCAGTCGACGTGGGACATTGAACAAGTGCATCCCTGCCCTGCAGCCCTCCATGCTCACTGCAGCCCTCCATGCGCACAGCGTCTATCTATTTTGAGATGGCCTTGATGCGGATTTTGAGTCACAGAAGCCACAAGCCACCGTGGCACACATGGCACACATGGCACACATGGCACACATGGCACACATGGCACACGTGGCACCACTCCATGCTTTACTCACAGCGTCTATCTGCTTGGAGATGGCCTTGACGCTGCTGAGCAGGCTGGAGAGAAACGCCTCTGTCTTGCGCTGCGAGGGGCACCGCCCGGAACAAACGCACACACAGGCCGGCGACAGGGGAGCAGCGGGCACACACAGGCCGGCGACAGGGGAGCAGCGGGCACACACAGGCCGGCGACAGGGGAGCAGCGGGCACACCCAGGCCGGCGACAGGGGAGCAGCGGGCACACACATGCCGGCGACAGGGGAGCAGCGGGCACACACAGGCCAGCGACAGGGGAGCAGCGGGCACACACAGGCCGGCGACAGGGGAGCAGCGGGCACACACAGGCCGGCGACAGGGAGAAGAGAAGGGGAGAGGCGGGGAAAGTGAGAGGGGGGCGTGAGTGGGGATGAGGATGGGGATGGGGATGGGGATGGGGATGGGGATGGGGATGGGGATGGGGATGGGGATGGGGATGGGGATCGGGATTGGGATGGGGATGGGGATGGGGATGGGGATGGGGATGGGGATGGGGATGGGGATGGGAATGGGGATGGGGCCGACAGGGAGCAACACAACGGGCATGCAAGCACAAGTGCAGCACCACCCCGCTTCCCCTGAGACAGCACGTGCTCTGTTGGTGTTGGCCAGGCCCACATGCACTCTGCAGCTACGCCCCCCCCCTCCCCCCCCAGGCCACTGGCACTTATGCATCCCCTGCAGTCCCCCCCCTGCTCTCCTGCTGCTCTCCCCCTGCTCTCCCCCTGCTCTCGCCCTGCTCTCCCCCTGCTCTCCCCCTGCTCTCCCCCTGCTCTCCCCCTGCTCTCCCCCTGCTCTCCCCCTGCTCTCCCCCTGCTCTCCCCCTGCTCTCCCCTGCTCTCCCCCTGCTCTCCCCCTGCTCTCCCCCTGCTCTCCCCCTGCTCCCCCCCTGCTCTCCCCCTGCTCCCCCCCTGCTCTCCCCTCACCAGTGCACTTGTTATCGGGTGGATGAAGGCATGATCATAGTCAGCTCAGCTCGTCCTTGCCTTCTGGGCCGCCCACCCCCTCTCCCTCCCCCCCGTCCCCCCTCTCCTCCCCCCCCCCCCGTCCCCCCTCTCCTCCCCCCCCCGTCCCCCCTCTCCCACCCCCCCCCGTCCCCCCTCTCCTCCCCTCCCCTCCTTCAGCCCCTAGGTGCAAGCCAGCCTGTCATTGCCTTTGCCCCTCCCCTCCCCACCCCTACCCACCCCTCCCCTCGCCTCCCCTCACCCCTCCCCTCCCCTCCCCTCCCCACCCCTCCCCTCCCCTGTGCATCCCTTCCCTCCCCTCCCCATCCCTTCCCTCCCCTCCCCATCCCTCCCCTCCCCTCCCCATCCCTCCCCCCCTCCCCCCTCCCCACCCCTCGCCTTCCCCCACCCAAGGTTAAAAAAAACGGCGTTCTATATTTTTTGGCCGTTTAATACGGCATCGTAATTTTCGGCCGTATTATACGGCCAAAAAGTGTTTTTTTTGGATTGTTTAAAAAAAACAGCCGTTTTTTACGGCCGTTTTTTTCAAACCAAATGTAGTTCATTTCAATGTTAGTTTTGTTTTCAAAATTCTCGAGTTCAGTGTACACTCCTGTCGGCAAAAGTGCGAAGTCAACACTTTCCCGAAGGAGGGCTGCCCCGAGCCCACTGCCCCTCTTCCAGAAGGGGAGAGGAGGGGGAGGAGGAGGAGGAGGGCTAGGCGGAGTGTGGTGGCGGGTGCACCATTGATTGGTGGACCTTTAGGATAATTGCGGGAAGGGGGAAGAAGGGGAAGGCCAAGGCAGGGAAGCGGGGAAGAAAGCCTACCAAGGGGGGGAAGGGGAAGAATAAGCCACGTACCTTACATGAGGAGGCGGAGGGGGAGGAGGAGGAGGAGGTGAAGGCTGAGAGTGCTAGTGATGGAAGTGGGGAGGATGCGGACTATGGAGGGGCCAACCCATGGGAGCTGAACCATAATGGGGTTGATGGGGAGGAGGAGGTGGTAGAGGGGGAAGAGGAAGAGGAGGAGGAGGAGGATCTAGGGTTTGCGCCGAAATTTTGCACCTTGCCCACGTAGACATGATCAAAACGCGATTGCGATTTAAATCGCATCGCATGCAGGTGCGATGTTTAAAAAAGCGATGCGATTTTAAATCGCATCGCGCGATTTATTTTTCAAAAAAAAAAATCGCAAATCGCATTTTACCCGCGATGTATTAAAAAATCGCATGCGATATTTAATTAAATCGCGCAATGCGATTTTAAATCGCATCGCATTTTAAAACAGAATTAAAAAACAACCCCAAAAAACAGAAAAAAAACATGGCTGCGGGGAAATTGACTCACGGGCAGTCGTAAGTTAGAGTGCAAATAACCAGTGTGGTTTTCGTAGTGGGTTTCAGAGTGGGTTTCAGTGCAATATCGTGCGCGATTTAAAAAAATCGCATATCGCATTTAAATCGCGTTTTTTTGCGCGATTAAAATGCGATTAAAATTAAATCGCGCGATATTAATTCATCGCATCGCGCGATGATTAAAAAAAAAAAAAAAAAAAAAAAAAAACATCGCCATCGCAAAAACGAGATTAAATGCGATGCGATGCGATTTTTTTTGCCCATGTCTATCCCCACGGCACCTGCGACCGCGCGGATGCCGCCATGATGGACGCCAGCCTGCGCTTGCTGACCTCGCCCCTTCCTTAACCACTTTACCGCCTTCCCCCTCTCCACCCTCCCCTACCATCCATCCCCTTTCCCCCTTCACCACCTGTGGTTGTGAACAAAGCCCACCTGTGAGGTAGACATGGGCACAAGCCGAGCCACACCTGGCTCGGCTCGGCTCGCGAACGTGAAATCAGGCGAGCCGGAGTCGAGCCGGCTCGAGCTGGCTCGATTTCGAGCCAGCCGGCTCGCGGCTAGGGAAAGGGGGGTTTCGCGACTGTCAAATTTTAGATCGACAACCCCCCCCCCTGCCAATATTGTCTGCCAACCCTAACCTCACCCTGTCGCGCTAGTCTATCGACCTCAGCCAGCCATATTTAAACCGGCAGCTCCTCCTGATAGTTTTGTAAGATGTAGGAGCAGACGATCAGCTAAATAATATGGATTATCCCCTATACTAGAGACCCCAAACCCTGTGGCCCCAATTGAGAGCCCGCACAAGCCCCTCTGACGAGCCGAGCCGAGCCGGCTCGCCGGCGAGCCGGCCCCAGCTCGACCCCATTTTCACGAGCCGAGCCAGGGATGAGGACCCGGCTCGAGGCGAGCCGAGCCGGCTCGACCGGCGAGCCGGCTCGGCTCGACCCCAAACGAGCCGAGCCGAGCCAGGCTCGGCTCATGCCCATGTCTACTGTGAGGTGCAAAAAAACGGCGTTTTTTAACCTTTTTTTCCGTATAAAACGGAATCGTATAAAACGGCCGTTTAATACGATTAAAACAGTAAAAAGTGGTGTTTTCTGACTGGTGCAAAAAAACGGCCGTTTTATACGGTCGTTTTTTTTTATACCGCCGTAAAAAACGGAGGTTCGCTTTACATAGAGGAGGGTGAGGAGGGTGAGGAGGACTAGCGTGAGGAAGGGCGACTAGAGCGAGGAAGGGGAGGACTAGGGTGAGGAGGAGGAGCAGAGCCGGAGTAGAGTAGGAGGACTAGGAGGAGGACAACTAGGAGGGTGAAGGAAAGGCGAGAAGGACAATGAAAGGAGGTCTAGGAGGACGAGGATGGTGTTTTAGATGCACGTCGGCTGTCGCCGTCACCAGGCCCTCTGTTTCGCAGCGGTTTTTTTTGGGGAAAAGAAAAAAAAAAACCTTGGAAAAAAAAAGGTAGAATTGCATAAATCTGCCGTATAAAACGACCGTAAAAACGGACCGTTTACTACGAAAACCGTTTTTTTGCACCTTGCCTGTGATGGTGAACAAATCCCACCTGCGACCGCGCGGATGCCGCCATGATGGACGCCAGCCGGTCCTTGCTGAGGTCGTCCCCGCCTTTCCCGCCTCCCCCCTCTCCAACCGCGTCCATGACCGTTGCCACGTGGGATTGCACTGTGGAGCTGTGGTTGCGCACCTCTGATGCCAGCTGGCGCAGCTGACCTGGTGATGAAACGTGCACGTGCACGCCCACGCGCACGCACACGCACACGCACACGCATACGCACGCACGCACGCACCCACGCCCGCAAACCCCTCCCCCCCCTCCCTCCCCCCCCACCCCCCCTCATACACACAAACACACACACAGACAATCGAGCATGCATGATGCGAAGCAAGGGTGTCTTGCCGCATCTGAAGCGTCCGTACTACACACCCTTAAAGCATCGCATCTCAGCAGTCAGCACCCGACCTCCCTGCACCGCTCTAGACCGCACCACTCACCTCACCAGTTTGGACCACTACGTGCCCAGTGAGTGCAGCAGGCCACCGCTGGTAGCGGAACTGACAGACACACAGGCCGACACCACCAGCATCCTACCCACCTCTCTTGACCACCAAGGCAGACAAGTTAGGCAGACACCAGCACCCTACCTCTCTTGACCACTCTGCACCGCACTTACCGGTCTGCACAGCCACGTGCTCTGTGACTGCAGTGGCCACGGAGTAGGTGTGGTTCTCCAGCGCGCCCACCAGCACCCGCATGTCGTGCGCCTGGTTGGACGCCTGCTCCGTGATGCTGGGAGCGTGTTGAGGGGGGGGGGTGGGGGGGTGGGTGTGGGTGGGGGTGTGTGGGGGGGAGAGGGATTTGGGCCACAGTGTATCCCACCAGCACCCGCATATCACATCACGTGCCTGGCTGGACGCCTGCTCTGTGATCCTGGGACCGTGGGGGAAAGGGGTGATAGGCGTGGGGGGGGTGGGGGAGGGAGGGGTTTGGGGGGGGGGAGGCCATGTGGATAGGATGGGGCATATTGTTTTTGGTCTGCTGTGGTTCGCAAGAGAGCCCTCGCCAGCACTCGCATGTCGTGCTGAGAGTGTGTGCAGGTGAAAATATGGTGGGACACGCAGGCGTGGTGTAACTGGCGGCAATGTGGCACCGCTCACCTCTCTGCGAGGGCTGCTCGCCCCTCATCGCTCACCTCTCTGTGAGGGCTGCTCGCCCCTCATCGCTCACCTCTCTGCGAGGGCGAGGGCTGCTCGCCCCTCATCGCTCACCTCTCTGTGAGGGCGACTGCGATCTGTTCGATGCTGGAGAGATGGCGCGACACCATGATGTACTACCGGGAGGGGGGGAGGGGGGAAGGGGGGGAGGGGGGAGGAGAGAGAAAGGGGAGGGGGGGAGGGGGGGGAGATGAGAGACGGAAGAGATGCGAGGAAGGGGGAGTGGCAGCGAGGGGGGTGTTTCGGCAAGAAGGGGTGCTGAGGTAAGAAGGGCAAGAAGGGCAAGAAGGAGAGCTTTCGCTTCCGCTCTCGCTCACGGTTGCTGCCTTTGCAAGGCATCATTGTTGCCAGCCGCGCTATTCTGAGTGTTTTGCACGGCCAGCATACTCGATCCGTGTTAGCACGGCCGTCGTCTGTAGGTTTGAACGTCGATGCGGAGCACCGCTGGTGTCCCACGCGTCGCCATGCCGAGCACCGCCGCATCCCTGAGCTCTCACAGCGATCCGCTCCCATGTCGCCCAGCCAGCTCACCGCCATCGGAACAGCGGCGGCCCGATCAACACTCGTCGAGACCGTCAACGGCGGCTTGTGTAGACCCGAAAGGCACAAATTTCACAGCGACTCGTTGAAGTCACGCCGTTCTTAATCACCTTGCCGCAATCAGCGCCGTTTTCTCGGTGCATTGGCTCAGCGTAATGCGCTCAATTGTCTGGTAGTTACCGCTACCGTGAACAGCACACCAGCAGTGTCCTGAAAATCGCTGTTACTAGTTACCGCCATCGCTGATTTTCGGGACACGTTGCTGGTTTTCGGGACTCGTTATAATCAGCATTGTTATAAGCAACTCACCATGATTAGTACCGCAGCGGCCTGGAGCGGCTAGACTCGATATATCAACACCGCTTCTAGCAACTCACCATGATCAATACGGCAGCGGCCTGGATAACGGTCGTGGTGACCACCAGCGGCTGCTGCTGCAAATGCACCCGCCGGGGAGGCGGCCGACTCTCCGCCCCGGCCATTGTTGGCTTGTAACGCGTGCACTAGCAGACGGGCATTGCCGATAATTAACGCGGATACTAGCAGACGCGCATTGCTGATTCTTCGCGCGTATACTAAAAGGTGCGCGCGCTTGCAGTTACACCAAACTCTACGATAGCTTGTCGACTTTCACGTGCTGTAGAACATTTCTTCGACGAAATGAGACTGAGCTGGCAAAAGACCACGGCCTGCTAAACCCCGTTACAGTCACGCCGGGGTAGCCGCGCAAATATCGCGACGAAGCGTGACGATGTCGCGAGGCAACGAGGAGATGTGTGACGCGATATCTGTCACGGAGCAGCGATGAAGGACTCTCTCGGAAGCTCAATGCAAGTAGCGTACTGCATGTGATTTGGGGGAAGATGCAAGGGAAGGCTGGTGTGATGGAACGTGTGGGATGGCTGTGTGGGTGGGCCTGGAGATTGACGCTAGGGTGTGCCCTGGTTGGTTGGTGGATGGAGGGATGGACCAATAATTTTACAATTACAACCTTCCTAGCATAGAATATTCCTAGAACGAGAGGGTTTGCAAACATTAAAGAGATTTCAAATTCTTGGCTTGCCCTCACCAATCAGTTTTCATCCCCATCATCATTCCCTTGCATCTCTTCCTCTCCTCCCCCTCTCCGTTGTCCCCACGTATTCGGTAGTGCCGTGCTTTCCCCTCACAACATGCACGCTCTCCCCACACACGCCAACCTCCCCCCCTGCCTCTGCCAGCCCAGTTGCATATACATCCACATGCCGTAGTGCCCTGGCATGCCTTAGCGAATATGGTAAAGAGTTGAGCACGAAGCATTCCCTCAAATGAAGCACTTTTAAGCGAGGCAGCAGACCGATGAGAGGAGGCAGCGAGTGGAGGAGCTAGCAGCAACTGAAGCAAGCGACACGGAGTGAGGGGAGGGAAGGGAAGGAATGAGGAAGATGGGTGAGGAGTTGCGGTATGTGATATTCAGACGGGCCATTTGGGGCAAGAAGAGCGAGCCTTCAGGGAGGGTGGCAATTTCATTGCATTCCGTAATGGTGAGATGAAGAAGAGAGGCTAGGGAAGAGAAGGTTTTGGGCAGTTGGGAAAATCACTCGCATAACTCAATAGAGAGACGCTTCAGCGAGGTTAGGGACCCAAATGCAGTAGGCAGGGTGACTAGATCGCCACAGCGAGCGATGTTCAGCATGCGAAGGCGAGAGATGAGGCAGAAGGAAGCAGGCAAGTTGGACAGATTTTGCCAACAAGACAAAGTTGCCTCTTCAAGTGAAGATAAGCCTCCAAGAGTGGCTGGAAGGGCCAAGCATGCTATGCCATGTATAAACAGCATCTCTAGCACGCCAAGACAACCAAGCTCGTCAGGAAAACCATCCAAATCCTCACGATCAGACAGCTCCAACTCTTCTAAGCAGGATAGCTTATCGATCTCCTTCAGCAACTGCTTCAAGTTTTGGCAATAGAGGTGGAGTTTCCGCAAAGATCCCGGCCCGGAAAAAGATAATGGGAAGCCCCCAATCAAGCGGCAACTTCTCAGATCTAAAGTTCCAATGCTGTCAGCTGCCCCAAATCGTCTGGAAGGAAGACAAGATTCTGGCTGCGGCTGAAGTGATTAAACTTTATGCTTAGTGTGCAAAGGGAGGACAGTCAAGCAAAGGCAGGAGGCGGGAAGAGAATCGGAAGGTTTCTGAGGCGGAGCTCTGTGAGGGAGGTGAGACACGTGATGGAGGAGGGAAGGGTGGGGCTGTGACACTCCGATCCTTCGGAACGATCAGCAAGTAGGTAGAGGGAGTGGAGGAATGGGACAAGGAGCGACAGGGAGTCCGGGAGGCAGAGGAAGGAGCCAAGGAGGGTGAGTGAGCGGAGGTTACTAAGATGGCCTAAGCCAGTAGGGAGGCGGTGGCAGGGCCAAGGCTTGTGATGGAAAGGTATGTGAGCGAGTGAAGAGAGCGCAAATGCGAAGAGAGGTGGCCACCTTGCCAGGGACCTTTGTAGAGAGGTACCTAGCGTAATCGGACATCCAGGTGCCGTAGACTAGGGCCGAGTGGTGTGCTTGGTGCAGGGGTGACAGCGAGATCAGCATCTAGATCGTCGTCACTCGACTCCTCTACGCCACGTTCCACAGGCGGCTCCAGCTACATAACACCCCCCACTTTCGCATAGGATAGGAATGGCAGGGTGAAGATGGACTCGGAAAAGGAATCACCGACTTCGACACCTGACAGCTCCATCTGCTCAAGTGACGTCAGTCTGCTTAATGACTCCAGTGATACGCCATCTCCCCCGCAGTCGATAGCCAAGTGTCGCAGGGCAAAGGCCTGTTCCAGGGCTATTGGCAGCGGCTCAAGTCTGGAATAGCAAGTCTGGAATAGTAGGTGATGGTGAGGCGTGTGAGGGACTCAAGGAACACGTGTTTCGAGCTGTATACGTCGTCGCAATATCTGAACGTAACCTCTTCAAGTCTCGTCCACTGGTGGCAGCTGCCTGGTAACAATACGTCGAAAGATCGTAACTCCAGTCACCGCAACTGGTGCAGCGCGCCAATGCTATTTGGAGAACGATCCACTTGCGATGGGCCTTTGGCGTGAAGAGATGTGAGGAATGAGAGCTCGCCAATGGAATTGGGCAGACGCTGCAGCTCTTTGCACCCTAAAAATGAGAGGTGGGCCAAACGAGCAGCACAAGCAAAGCTCTTGGAGCACCGACAGCTGGCAGATTCCATCAGGTAGCACGCGGAGAGCTGCGAGGTTCAGCCAGAGCACACGCAGCGACGACAAGCACGTGATTGTAATGGGAAGTGCTGTCATCTAACCGTGGCGCCATGCTGTAAAAGAACGCGTCCCACGCTCGGAGGCTGATTCTGAAACAAGCCGGTCCAATGAATCGCGGCTCGCACATGCTCAAGCGGGTAATCCGAGGGCAGACGGAAAACATGTGTGTTAGAAATAGACTGCAAATACCACTTTTGTATTTGTACTTTTATATCCTAGTTTAGGTTATGAATGTTCTAGTGGGTTGGGGTGTACTCACAAATCCCAACCTCACCCAATTGTGATCCCCCCAATCTCCAATTACCCAATTGGAGATTCCGGAGATCCCAATGGGGATTCCCTCCAATTCCCCCTTCATCCATTCACTCTCACCTTGCCATGTACTTATAGAGCCTTGGGCTCCTTACCTAATCAATCATTTTCAACTCTATTTCTTGGGCGCCAAGCCGTCAGACTGATTTTCAGCAATTCTCGTCGACCAATTTCCAGAAGTGCCGCGCTGCACACCGACAATGGCTTACTCAACCACTTCACTCGCCAACCCGATCCCGCTCCTTCGTCTCGAGCCGGACGGCACATGCTCCAACTACAAGGCTTGGCGCTATGGTGTCCACAAGCACCTCCTCAGTCGCGAGGTGAAGGGGCTCGAGCTCACCGACGTCCTTCTTAACATCGGTGACGGCAAAGAGCCTCCTAAACCCAAGAGTTCCGCCGATCCAGCTAATGCCGCCGCCGAAGCAGTTTATGCTGCTGCATTGCTCGAGTACAAGAATTGGGAGAAGGCCGATGGTGCGGTCATTAGTGTCTTCATGGGCACCACTCCTCCCGAACTCGTCGAAACCTACCACAACTACCTGTCTGCCAACGCCATTTGGCTCTACCTCGAGGATCGCTTCCTGAACAAGACTGCTGTGGGAGTTGCTATACTCATCCCCAGCATATTCCAAGTGCGGCTCGAGGACTCGCCAGGCATGGCGGACTATGTCACCAAGGTGTAGTCCATTCATGGTGAACTCAAACAGTTGGGGATAGTCTTCCCCGAGCAAGCCCCTGCAGCCGCTCTCCTAGTCGGCCTCACTCCGGCATACGAAGTCACACGCAAGATGCTCTTGGGCTTTGCTCATGCAGACCTCACATTTGCCAAGGTCTCATCCATGCTCCTTTCTGCGGAAAAGGACAACAGCGCTCAAGCCAAGGCCAATGCAATCCGCGCTCTTGTGCCTCAAGCCTATGCCGCTTCGGTGCCATTCCAGCGCAACCGCTTCCCCCCGTGTCCCTATGTCATCAAGCGCGGCCCTCGTGCTGGCCAGGTGTGTGGCGGCACCAACCACGGCCTTGCCTCCTGCTTTAAGAAGAAGGATGACGAGTGGTATGCCGTCAATGGGACTGCCTCCAAGCCGCCAAGCTGGATAGTCAATTGTGCTCCTCGCCAAGTCAATCAAGTCGAAGCGCAGGAATCCGTTCAGGCTGCTGTGGCTGCACCTGCTGATGTGCGCCTCAACATGTTGTTCCCTGGCACTGCCATGATTAATGAGACGATTTCGCAGTATCCTGGCTGACAAAGCACCTCAGCTACAATAGAGTTCACCCTCGACAGTGGGGCCACTCACACGATTCTCAAGGAAGAACACTCCTTCAAGCCATACGAGACACCAATCCGTCTACTTGGAGCAGACTCCAGTTTCACAACACACGCCAAGGGCTCCTCCACAGTTCCGTGCCCAGCTTTTCCTTCGGGCAGTGTGACTGGCATGTGTGTTCCCACACTACGCCACAATCTCGTGGCCCAACACGAGCTCCAACGGGCAGGCGTCACCACGATCTTCCCAGCACACTCGGATCACAGTGACCTCCTCGACCCTAAGTCCAACAAGCTCCTAGCACGCTTCACACTCAACAATAGCAAGCTCTACACGCTGCGTTCACCTGCACCTCTCGCCGCCCTCTCCCAAGCGCAAGCTGTCAGCACCACTCCGTGTTCGTGTCGCAGCTTTGCCAACCCAACCATCCTCTACCACCATCGCTTGGGTCACCCCAACTTCCGTACACTTGCCGACATCGTTTCCAAGAAACTTCCTCTTGGACTCCCGTCGGCGCTTCCTCCACCAACAGACTCACCTGCACCCACCTGCCTGGACTGCACCAAGAGCAAGCTCAGGCAGCAGCCGCACCCTTCCTCCCCATCCGTCGCAGCTGCTCCCCTGGACCTAGTGCACATGGATGTCTGGGGCCCAGCTCCTGTCGCATCCCGAGGCGGTCATCGGTACTTTCTTACACTAGTCGATGACCACTCGCGGTATGTTTCTGTGCACCTCCTGCATACCAAGGCGGAGGCACCTGATGTCATCATGGCGTGGGTGCGACAGGCTCAAGTCACGTTCGGCACTCCTCTCAAGTGCCTCCATTCTGATGGTGGGGGAGAATTTCGCAATGGCAAACTCGATAACTTCTGTGCGGCCCAAGGGATTCGGCAAACCTTCACGCTCCCCGAAAGCCCGCTGCAGAACGGCATTGCAGAGAGCCGCAACCACACCTTGGTTCAGATCGCTCGCTGCCTCCTCAGTCACGCCAACGCATGACGGTCACTCTGGGG